AGGCTTCAGCTGTTATGGGAAACTCCAACAGAGACAGGGGACTCTGAGGCAAGGAAGCAACGCTTCACTGTGCTGGCACAGACTCAGCGGACTGTATCCAAAGGCTGAGCCCCAAGAACAAAGGGGTCTCACCTTATGTACCCTTGCAAGCAGGTTAGAGAGCCAATAAAATTAAAACACAAGGTTTAACCCATATATGGTTACATGCAATTCTATAGGCTACTTCAGCCTAGTGCTAGTGCCCTTCTACTCCTAGTGCTAAGACCTTCTTCATGTTTGGATTCTTTAGGTTTTATCTCTCCGCTATGCCATCCCTTCCCCCTTGCTACTTCATCAGAACACAGGCCTGTCTGTCTCTCTTCTGGTCCTTCTCCCTGGTACACACCCCTCTTTTTCAAGCCAGCCCTGTGTCCCCCAGAGTACTTCAAGGAACCAGGGAGGAAGCCACTTTTTCCTAGCTGCAACATAAGATCTGTCATTTTGAGGCTGTGGTTACAGGGCATACTCAGGAGTCAGACGGTGCTCCCAGGCTCGAGACATGCTGATGCCATCCACGACTCCCTGGGAACAAAAACAGATGCCTGGCATCTCCAAAGAAGGACCATCCAACAACTTTTCTTTGCACATGTGGAGGTGGGAAGAGACCTGATTAGAGAAAATGGTGCTATGGACAGGTTTGAGTGTGTAGCCAAGGGTGCATGTGCTCGTTCCCAGTGTGGTCATGTTGGGGTGGTAGAAACTTTAAGAGGTAGGGATTATAAATGGATGTGTTGGCTCAGCCTGTAATCCCAGCTACTTGGGAGGTGGGAAGTAGAGATAGGTGGAGATCAGGAGGATCACAGTTTGAGCCCAGGGGAAGAAGTTAGGGAGATCCCATCTAAATCAATAAGCCAGGCATGGAAGCCTGTACCTATGATTCCAGTTATGCATGGCAGTCCGAGGATGACCCCAGGTAAAACCTCAAGACCCTACTTGAAAAATAACTAAAGCAAAAAAAGTGCTGGGGGCCTGTTCAAGTGGTAGAATGCCTACCTAGCAAGCATGAAGGGCTAAGTTCAAACCCTAGCTCCACGCCCCCCCCCAAAAAAAAGGCAGGGCCTACTGGCAGGTGACTAGGTCATTGGAACATCTTCCTCTGAAGGGATTCACCCTGGTCTCATGGAGTAAGTTCTTTTGAGAGCAAGTTGTTACAAAGGAAAAAGACTGGCCCTCTCCTGTCTCTGACTTCCCATCTCTCCATCCGCTCTCTTATATATGTGCCTCCACTATTGTGATGCCATCAGCCAAAAGACTGTTATTGGAGCAGAACAGAAGCCAGCACCATGTTTTTGAACTTCTAGAACTCTAAGCTAAGTAAACCTCTGCTTTACAAATTATCCAGCCTCAGATAATTCAGTTCAGAGAATGAACTAAGGCAGTGTTAGAACAGGATCACCTCAACTTCAACATGTGTTCATTATCTAAGTCAGGCTCTCAGAAGGGTTCCCATGATGCTACTGAACTGCATGCAGCCCCTCAACCTTGAGACTCTGCAAACCAGAATAACATCTCTCTCTTTTCTAAAAGGGGCCATAACTACAGTGCTGCAAAGGGAGCAGAAGCTGATGTCAGTGTCAGTTGTGCCCAGGCCCTGGTCTTGAGCCAAGACGTCCCCTGACTGTAGAGAAAGTAGCTCAGGAGGCTGTGGGTGATGAGAGAGAGGATGTGCTCAAGGACCAGCAGGTTGGAGGAGATCTGGAAGGTGCTGTCCTCCCATACGGCACAGAGACCAAAGAGTCTTGAAGACACAGTGCCACCATCTGGTCCCAAGAGGACTCACCTGCCCATGCAGAGGGTGCAGAGCCCATGCCGTGGGCCTGGGTTGCAAGGACTGAGGCTGAAGTCCTCCCACAGCAATCTTTCTGGAGTTTCTATTCGGTACAAGACTGCTGCTTCTAAAGGTTCACCCTGCCACAGGGAACCACAGTGCAGCCATCTGTCTGCCTGTGCCCTACCCTCCCAAGTCTGACCACTTCTAACAGAGCTACTGTGGTCCCAGCACACCTGCGGCCTTCTGGTCCAAGCCCAGTGGCCATGCTGAACCCACACCTGGCCTGCGCTTTGTTAAAACCCTCACACACTTCCCGTGGGCTCTTTTAAAAGCAGGGACAGGCTGCTCACCAAGAGCCTCCTCCCTCCCCACCCCACAGCACCCCTTCCTTGAAGTCTCACAGCAGCACAGAACTTTAGTTTGGGGACTTTGCCCTCTGTTCTTTTATTATTATTATTATTATTATTATTTTATTGAGACGGGATCTCAGTCTGTTGCCCAGACTGATCTGAAACTCCTGGGATCATTTGAGATCCTTCTATTTTAGCTGGCACTACAGAGGTGTTTGACTGCACCTAGCTTTTCCCATCTGCTCTTGATTCACTTTCCTTCAGGTGCTCCAGCTGAAGAAAATGCCTTAATAAGACACAGAATCCCTGACTCAACGATGGTTCCACTTGTGATACCCATACAAGTATTCCACTTGCATACCCATACAAGTATTGTTTTTCATGTTCACTAGTTTTCAGCAGATTACCTGAGACACTCACCACTTTATTTTAAAATGGGTTTTGTGTTAGTTGACTGTGCCCAACTGTAGCTAATGTAAGCATTCAGTTACATCAGCGCTTCGTTCCTCCTCTGCCCTGCACCAGACCTGAGCCCCACCTGCTCTCTCAGGTGGGGTTGGGGGTGGAGGAGGCGGGGCTGGCCGGCCAGTCTGATGATAGATTGTTCCATCAGGATCCTGCTTGAGAAGGAGACCTGTTGGTGTTGGCTCCTGGCCTAGCCACTCAGGAAAGTCCCTTCTCCCATGCCTCAATTTCTCCACCTGTCAAATAGGTGGATTCAGTCAGTATCTTCATCAGCCTTCCTGCGCCTCCAGGGTGAGAAGAGGCTTGGTGTGTTTTGTTTTTTCTTGGGGAAATCTTAACCTTCAAAGCACAGTGTTTTTATTAGACACTTATGAAAACAATAGGGGTAGTCAGTGATTGGCTTAATTATGATAATTGAGGAGATAGGGAGAGAGAACGCGTGGGGTGGGGGAGGGGGTGTTAAGGACCTGCTCATTTCCCAAGTCCCTAAGGATTTCCTCCTGGAGCTGAGGCCTAAACTTCTGTGTACTCAAGTCAGGAAAAAAAAAGCCTCAATGGCAGTTACTAATCGCCCCATAGGTGGGTTAGATCAGGCTGGGCAAGGGCTATTTCCATCCACTGGTGATGCAGCTATGGTTAGAAAGTGATTACTAGAGGAGTAATTCTTCCTAACTGGAAAGGCAGAGAGATAGGAGTAGCGGCCAAGCCCTGGAGAGACCAACCCATTCTGATGACAGCCTGGGATAGGGGAAGGAGCCCCCAACACATGCTGAAGGCTGTGTGGCAGGGGCAAGGTGGTCACAGCCTGTACTCAGCTTTTCATCACAGTCATGGTCATAGTAGTCAGGGGCTCCCTCCACACACCATGGTTGGGCCTCCAGGAGAAGTGTGGACCCTCTCTGCTCCACAGATAGTTCCAACTGGACCAAGTGCCAGGGCACAACCACCTGAGCCCATTCCTCACTGCGGCCCCAATCCTCATCTCTGAATCATCCTTTGATGAGGTCCCACTTCCCGTCTGCACCCCGTTATTAAGTGGACTATGCCTTCTGTGACTGTGTACTCTCCTCCCCCAGCTCTGAGAAAACTGCAGAGGCAACAATGGGGACAGTAAGGACTCTGATCCTGACCCAGCCCTGACTCAAACTTAAGACCCCTCTCTACCAATAACTCAACTCAACCAGGGCAGCCCACAGTTCTGTGCTTCTCACTCACCTCGCACACCAGTACTCAACTATTGCCCTGGGCTGAGCTCTAGGGGTGAAAGGTTTGTTCCCAGGAGCCACAAAGCCAGTCCCTCTTGTTAGGGCTCCTAATGAGATGGGGCTGCATGGAAACTGACAAAATTTATTACTTCTTTAAAAACAAGTAATGCATGTTTAATGCACAGAAATGAGAACGCACAGATGAGCAAAAGAGAATTTAAAAATTGCCCATGATTCTACCTGGGAATGATCATGCTTTTTTGTCTTCATGAACTGTTCTGTAATCCACTATTTGTGCTTATTAATGTACTATGAAGACCTTTCAGGTCAAATTAGATATTTTCATATTGTCAGCTTGTCACCTGAGATGCTCATTTCTTCAGCAACTCAGTGGTGGCCTTTGTGACTATTTCTGGTATGACTAGTGCTGCCGGGAACATCTTCTATCTACTCAGTCATGTTTGCCCACCACCTCCTCAGCTACAGGCGTCTTTCTGTGTATCGGGCATATAGCCGGTTATACATCAGACACCTGTGGAGACACAGCTCTGGGCAACTGATTAGTTTTTTCAGTTCATGACTGGATAGCACATGGTTGGGCTAAAGGGCACACTTCTGATCTCCCCACGGACTGTGCTCCAGATCAGCCTAGCAGTGGTCTCCCGGTGTGACCCATGGGGACAGAGCAAGCCCCAGAGGAAGCAAGAAGAGCGACCCTGGTTCCTGGGCCTGTGGTTTGGTCCAGGGCTTCACTAGGTGGCTGTGTTTTTGCAGCCCCCGATTGGGCTGTTGGAGCTGGGTGTGGAATGTGATATTTGAAATTGGGCCATGCTAGATAATTCAGAGGTACTAGGTGCCTCCCGGCCTCGCTCCGAGGCAGCCCTTGCCCAGTATCTGGGGAGGGGAGAGGACGCCAGGCTTCCCTCACAGACTGCCAAGGGCGTCCGAGCCAGGCCCTGCCCCCTATCTCAGTCCTCCGCCCCTGCCCTTCCTATGCTCCAGGCGGGCGCCCAGGTAGCTCGAGAGCCCAAACCTGTCGGGCCGGTTTTGACAACCACGGGGACAGAGCGAGGAAGGCTACTGAAGGATGCACGGCCTGCCCTGTGCTCGCCTGCACCCCTCTAGACTTGAGCCGGTCCTGCCTGTCCCCCGGCCCATCCGCCGGACCCTATGACGCGCGTGCCAGGCCTCGCGGCGCCCCTGCTGAGCCTGGGGCTGGGGTTCGCTCTGAGCCTGCCGGCAGCGGCAGCCTCGGACTGCGGGTCCCTCCGCCCGGCCGAGCGCCTGACATTCACTCCGGCAGCCAGGACCCGATGGCTGGCCCCTCGCGTCCGCGCGCCGGGGCCCCTGGACCCCCTCTATGGCACCGTGCGCCGCTTTCTCTCCGTAGTGCAGCTCAACCCCTTCCCTTCGGGTGAGTGTCCCCTGGCCTCAGCGGACCTCCGCAGGCATAGGATCACCAGCCAGCCTCCGTCTGTGCCCATCCTGTCAACAGGCACTTGGGCAGCAGGATCCCCAGCAATCCCCACTGCGTTTTGACTTCCAGAAGACCCGGGCTATTAGGGGCAGGATCCGGAGGAGATGGCTCCAGAACCTCATGTGACCTTGGGATAGCCCCCTTTATTCTCTGAGCCTCAGTTTCTTCTCTAAAGCCGAAGGCTTTGCATTAGAAGCACCTTACGCTGGGCTGGCACATTCTCCAAGTCTAGTGGTGACAGGGGTCAGGAGGGTCTGGAGGGGTTAGAGGAGGGGAAGGGCTCTCAGGTGGCAGGGCCTACCTGTGAGGTTGAGGACTGCTCTTCAGGCCTGCCCTAAGCTGTCCCCTTCTGCAGCAGCACTGAAGCCCAGCAACATGCACAGGATATGGGAGACTGCCTTCTCTAAGAGCCCACCATGGCCTGGCAGTGGGGAGGAGTAGATTCAGGGAGCAGGGCAGTGACGGTTCCCAAACCCTCAGCCTGCTTTTTTTCCCATAGAGTTGGTGAAGACCTTGATGAATGAGCAATCCTCCGTGAAGGTGGATGAGGTAAGAACCCAGCGGCAGGTGTAGGGGAAGGAGTTTGGGATGAGCAGGAGGGGCTTCTCTTGCTCAACTCAGCCCACCTTGCTGGGTGTTTGCCAGACTGGAGGTCTTGGGCATCCTTTCCATTCTTACCTGGGTTCTGTGGTGACAGACCTGGGTTCAAACCTTGAGCTCTGCTGTTTACTAGCAATAGGGTCCAAGTGGGCTGAACCCAGATTTCACATTCCTTTCAGAAAGATGGTCATTAACAAGGACACTCTGCATCTCTTGCCTGGGTCCACCCAGATGGGTCATGTGCCCTCCCTCTGCTTTGGGGCTCCCTCTGGAGCCAGGAGGGAGCTGGGGCTGGGAGTAGAGGGCAGATCTGCCCCTCATGCCTTGCTGCCCTGCCCAGGTGGTGCGGTACGAGGCTGGCTACGTGGTGTGTGCTGTGATAGCAGGCCTCTACCTCCTGGCAGTGCCCACCACTGGGCTCTGCTTCTGTTGTTGCCGCTGCCGTCGGCGCTGTGGAGGTCAAGTGAAAACTGAACACAAGGCCATGGCTTGTGAGCGTGGCACCCTCATGATCTTCCTGTTGCTGACTACCCTCGTGCTGCTGTGAGAGACTGCCCAGGTTAGGAAGGAGGGCTGGGCCATGGCCAGAGGTTCCCAGCCACCACACAAGCCCCTCCCTCCTCCCCTCTATCCCTGCAGGGTTGGCATGATCTGTGCTTTTGTCACCAACCAGCGTACACATGAGCAGACAGGCCCTAGTGCTGAAGCCGTGCCTGAGACCCTGCTCAGCCTCCGGGGCCTGGTCTCTGATGTCCCTGAGGTGAGCATCAAGTAAACCCCTCGTCCCCATCACAGCACCAGGCCCAGCCAGATAGAGTAGAGCAGGCTACTCTATGGCCCATAGCCTGCAAAGCAGAAAGGGTACCCCTTCCTCTGTACACCTGGCTGTTTCCTGCTGGAGAGTCACTGAAATGTATAGCTGAATCCTTAGAAGGGTAGGGATTGCTGAGGAACAGGGAAAGGTGGCTAACAGTCCTCTGTATGCCTAGGAGCTACAGGCCGTGGCAGAACAGTTTTCCCTGCCCCAGGATCGCGTCTTGGAGGACCTGGATGGTGAGGGTTACAACCGGTCAGCCCCAAGGTCCCCTGATCAGTCTTGCCCAGGGGGACCTCTTACTCCCTCATCCTGGACTCTGGTGAAAGCCTGGTAAAAGCTTCACAGCGGGAGATGGAGTCCACTGGAGATCCTGCACAGTAACCACTCTGCTGCAGGATGGAGAAGCCAGCACCACCCTACAGAGCCTGGGGCTGTGTGGGAGGGGACCCTCAGCTCCTGGGGAACCAGCCCTGCAGAACACCCTGTGATCTTCAGGTCTCGGCGAGAGCATCGGGAGTGCGATCCATAGCCAGCTCAAGAGCACAGTGTACCTGGCGCTGGCCTCAGTGCACAGCCTGGGCCAGGGTGAGCTAGACCATATTCAAATGGGCCCTGCAGGCGTCCTCTGGGGCAGACCCACCCTTCTCCAGCCTTGGATTTCATGTGCCTCCTCAGCCCATGGGAGGCCTTTCCTATCCCATTATCCCAGGATTCTAGTCTGTGGCACCCCTGCCCACTTCCTGGTCTAATGTACCCTGGGGCAGTTTCCGTTGTGACTGTACAAGTTAATGACTCCAGGTCCCTTTGGCCAGTATGGGGAGGAAGTGTTTTGACTCTTGCAAGGCAGCTGAGGCAGCCAGGAAATGTAGAGGTTCCTCAGGCCAGGTGTGGGTCTCACAGCCCTGCAGGTCTCTGTGGACCACGTTAGAACCCTGAATGCCACCTCCGTGGAGCTGCAGGAGGGACAGCAACACCTGGAGCCAGCTGTGCGGGACCACCGGGAACACCTGCTTACCCTGCTTCAGGATCCCCAGTGCCAGGAGAACTGCACGGGGCCTCTGAGCCGGGCCCGTGCTTTGGAGCTGGATGCAGACTTCAGACAGGTGCAGGTCCAGGACAGAGGCCTCTTAGGTCATTCTGCCTGCTGTCCCAGGAGTCTCTGGACATCCCAGTGGTCGGAGGGTTTCCTGAGGCCAACTCCCCTAACCTCCTTCCATGAACTGCTCCTTCCCTTCCTGAGCACCCAAGGTTAATGATGTCATCTGGGCAGTGAGTCAAGAGCTCTCACTGGGCCACACAGGAGAGCTTCACCTGCATTAGCAGCTTAAGTTCTTGCTGCCTTCCAGAGCTATAGGGGCCTGCTTTACATGTGACGATACTGAGGGTTCGGAGGTATCTCTCCAGTTTCTCCTACAAGGATCCTCAGGCCTCTCCACAGACTCTCCCCCTCTATTTCAGGTCCCCCCCGTGGATAATGTCCTGCATTGGCTAAAGGGTGTCCCAGAAGCCAATTTCTCCAGCATGGTCCAGGAGGTGAGTGCCTGCCTGAGCTACCTGACTCCTTCTCTCCCTGCCTGGGAATTCACAAGTGAGGGGCCTCAGTTTCCCCCTTTTGGAGCAGGCACACAGTTGAACCTAAGACTTGAGGCCACCCCTGTTACATGGCACCCTGGACTAGAGGCTCATTATGCCAGTCCTCTGTGACACACAGACTGGTAGGGGCAGAAGGCCGAGGGGAAGGGTGCCATGTGAATCAGCACCTGTGACCAAGAGCCTTGGTGAGTCAGCTGTGCTGGGTGGCTGGAGTGGAATGTTCCGGGAAGGAGGAAGTGGGAGCTGGGGTGGAATGGTAGGTTGGAGCTGGACTTCTGCAAACAGAGCTGGCGATCATGTGCGGGATGAATGGGAGGTGAGAGGATGGCTGAGTGGGCCACTATTGTCTGGGAAGGGGCTGGGATGGGAAAGAGGAGTCTACAGGGAGCAATGTTTGGAGGAATTGAGTCAGGCTGGGGCAAGGGAGAGGAAAACCAAATCCCAGAGATCCCAAGGAGGTCTGCACCTGTGCTGGGAGCACTGAGTAGTGATGCCCTCTTTCTGGGCCTTATGGCTCTGGGGCCCCAAGCTGGGACCCCAGGCTGAGGGCAGGCATCACGGCCCCACTTGGTTCCACAGGAGAACAGCACCTTCAACAGCCTCCCACTCCTGGTTGCCATGCAGACAGCCAGTGTGATCAGAGGTGAGGCCCTGCCCAGGGCCAGGTGGGCTGCCTGTCATGCCACCCCCACATACCCCTTCCCAGAGGCTTGCTGAGAGAGGAGAAGGCAGTGGTGGGGGAGACTACCTTCCTTCTGTGGACCCCAGAGATTCAGCCCTGGCCCCTGGGTGCTCTTTGCATCCCCTAAGCCACAGTTGGCTTTGGGCAGATCTGAAGAAGGCAGTGGCTGGGCAGCCTGAAGGTGTAAGGATGCTGGCCAAAGGGTTTCCGGACTCAGAGGCAGCTTCCCACTGGAGCCAGGCACTGGAGGAGCTAGAACTGCGCAGCCGCCCCTACCTGCAGGATGTGCAGCGATACGAGACATACAGGTGCCAGGAGCCTGCGGGGTGGGCAGCCCAGCCACTCTGTCACCCTGAGCTCCATTCTAACCCCCATTCGCCTCCAGCCATACTGAGCTCCTGACCCCTCAGGCCTCCATGTCTCCATCCAGAGTGTGCCCCCAGTACCAGCATCTGGGGTTCCCTAGGAGTGAGGGCTCAAAAAGTGTCTATACTGCACTTCTGAAACCCCAGGCTCAGAGGCTCATCCAGCCACTCCGTCCCATGACAGCCTTTCCAGAGCCTTGCTGCCCCCTTCTCAAGAGCCTCACACCTTCTCTGTGTCAGGTGGATCGTGGGCTGTGTGCTGTGCTCCGCCATCCTGCTTGTGGTGGTCTGTAACCTGCTGGGCCTCAGCCTGGGCATCTGGGGGCTGTCTGCCAGGGAGGACCCCAGTTACTCAGAAGCCAAGGGCGAAGCTGGAGCCCGCTTCCTCATGGTGTAAGAGGGGGCTGGGGAAAAGGGAAGGGGTCCTCTTTGCTAGGCTGACCAGATTCCATGTGCTTCCACCACAACTCTTAGTGCAGCCACAGGAGCTAAGTCCTAGGAGTCAGAAGACTGAGCTAGTCTGGCTCCCACTCCCTGGGTGACCCCTGGCAAATGAATAACCACAGACTCCGTGGGTACACTTTCCCACTGAGCCTAGACACAGCCTCAGAATCCTTCTTAACCTAGCACCACCAATAGGAGACAGTGACAGAGGCAGAATCTGTTCACCATGCCTAGACTAGGTGGTATCTAACTCTCACATACAGCTGTGGAGGCTGTTGACTACATGAGGGTACCTGGTCAAAGGGGTGTGTAGGGGCCAAAATGCACCCCTTATTTCGCTGTGCAGGCCTTCTGAGTGTGCCTACCTCACAAAGGAGCCCTATAAGGCAGTGGCATCTAGTCTAAGGATTTTTACTACTTAGATGCAGCGGGGTGCTGCCCCCATGGGCCATGTCCGGTCATGCCAGTGACCTTTTGAAAGGTTACATTCTGGAACAAGTCACCTCCATGGCCTCTGGGTACAGAAGCAGGTTGCCCTAGCCCTTTTAACAAAACATCTGTGCCCTCCACTAGACTGCCAGGACCCAGCAATGGGGTGGGAGTGGGGTGAGGATGAGGAGGGGCAGCAGGAAGTGCTGGGTTCTCCCTTCTGCCTAGAAGGCTGAGTCCTCCAGTTCTCATCCCCAAAAGGCTCTCACCTGGGGCCGGCTCACAGCCCCTGCTCTGGGATGTAGGTGGGGACAGAGGTCTGGCCCAGGGAACCAGTCTCCACTGTCCCTCAACCCTGGCTCTCACCTCCCCAGAAGCGTCAGCTTCAGCTTCCTCTTTGCTGCCCCTCTCATCCTCCTGGTCTTCGCCACCTTCCTGGTGGGTGGCAACATGCAGACACTTGTGTGCCAGAGCTGGGCAAGTGGAGAACTCTATGAGGTGGGCCTGTCCCTGTTCTGGGGAGGTGGAGGGAGCTGTGGCACAGCAAGGGGCCTGGGAGGAGGTGGGAGCCAGAAGGCACAAGAGGAGGAGACAGACAGGAGGAATGAGGACAAAAACACCAAGGAGACAGAAAGCTGCCTGTGTGTGTGAGAGAGAGAGAGGAGGGGGGAGGGAGGAAGAGAGGGAGGGAGGAATTGAGACTGTGATTCAGAGCCAGAGACAGACAGAAAGCCTGTGAGCCTTAGGCAGCCCATGTTGTTGCAGCTACACCTGGCCCTTTCCTCTCCCAATTCTGAGTCTGGGAACTGAGCACCCAGGTGCCTAGTATGCTCCTAATGGGTGAGCTGAGACGCTGGCCTGCGTTCCCTGCATAAGGTCAGGCTGGCCACCCTCCTAGAGATTCATGGGAAGAGTACTGTAAGGAGTTAGGCCTGGGATAAATTGAGTTAGAGGCTGGGTTTGGGCTAGAGTCACAGAGGTATTCCCACCCTGGTCTCTCCTGTACCAGGGCTACGCCAGTCCTCAGGGGAGCCAGGGCAACCTTGTTCTAACCCTGCTGTGGGTTCCATTTCTCCCTTCCCACTTGCAGTTTGCAGACACCCCGGGCAACTTGCCCCCATCTATGAACCTGTCCCATCTTCTCGGCCTAAGGAAGAACATCAGCATCCTTCTGGCCTATCAGTGAGTGCACAGCCTGAGCTGGGGGCTGGGATGGGGATCTGGGGGGAGGAGCAGAGGTGGGAACTGCCTCTTCCTCCATGTTCATCTTTCCTCCCCAGACAGTGCAGGGAAGGGGCTGCACTCTGGAAGGTCCTGCAGCTCAATGACTCCTACGACCTGGACAAGCACCTGGATATCAGCCAGGTAAGACAACATTCCAGAAGGCTGAGAGGACCCCCTCCTACTGATCCCCCTTCTCTGGTCTTGCCTCTGTAGAGGCACTATTTGAGCCCAAGAAATCTTGATGAGTTATTGAGGTGCCTCTGCCAGCACGGAGGCACCAACTACGAGCTCTGAGCCTGGCCAGGGCTGGAGCCAGGGAAGTTTCCAGGTGTGTGGGTGGGTGTGTGAGTGCCTGGAGGCCATGGGCAGTTCTCAGCCTTGTGCCAGGGAAAGTTGAATATAGCAGAGGTTGTAAGAAGAAAGGACAGTGACAGTGAATGAGACGGTCAGGGAGTGTGTTTCCTGACAGAGGACAGGCATTTGTTGGCATGAGTGAAACAGAGTACCAATGACTAATGCTGAGCAAGTTGGGTAACTTGGTGGATGGCTCACCAAGGCCCTTGCCAAGCTCACACAGCCAGTAGGTGGTGGCAGATCCCCCAGCCTGACTTCCAGGACTCTGCCCACTGGGACCTACTCACTTGTAGGAAGTTGCACAGTGACTGGGAGAGTAGAACTTGGAATTTGGTACACGACTGGTGGTACTTGTCAATGCTGGCAAGAGACAGTTCAAGAACCAAAAAAGAGCTACTTCACCAGAGGCACATACTTTGAAGATGTGGTCTAAAGGGGTACAGAGGCTGAAAAACGTTCCCTCCTTTCCTCTCTCTTTGCCTAAGTGAGATGGGGAAGATGTCCCTGGGGAATCATTTCTAAGTATATCCTAGGAAAACTGCACTCCGCTCCCTGGTGCACCCTGCACCCCACCACTGCCCACACAAAGCTACCTTCTGATTCTGCATCACTCTGAGAAACCCTTCTAGCTCTTCTTGGATCCAACCCCCATTCTCAGCACTCAAGATAGCACAGCCCAATGGCCCAGTCCCAACTGCATGCCTTCAACTGAATAACCAGAGACAGTTTGCTTAATGCCAGAGCCACTCTTCCTCCACCGTCTTTGACCAGAAGGAAGGTCCTCAGAGCAGGCAGGATCCCAGTGCCAGACCAGAGGCACTGCCCCATGGATGGAGTCTGACCCTGGGCCCAGGAAACCCCAGGCATGCTGGCTGGAAGTCACGGCTCTTGGGTTGAAGAGTCTCAGCTCTGGTCCTGGGAGGGAAAAGTTAAGCTCACAGAAGAGTCTGGACAGATAGGATTTCAGGTTCAGGTGGATGGGGCAGTCCTTAGAGGCCATCTGACACCTTTTCAAATGGGACCTTAATACTTGTCCTCAAAAGAGGTGGCAATAAGCTAATAACGCAGAGATTGGTAAGACAAGACATGCTTTCCAGGGCACAAGGAAGCACTGCCCACTGCACACATCTCCCACACTTGTCTGACACTGATACCCCGAGACCCTGTGTCTGAGAAGGTTAAGATTTTTCTCTCCCTGGCGAAAGCAGAAAGGAGAGTCTGGGGAGGTAAGCAGAGATGGACTGCATTCTCTAACTTGCTGGACATCCTCTGGCAAGTGCATGTTCCTCTCTGACCACAGCTCCTCATCTGCTAAACACTGAGGCTGAATTTCATGACCACCAAACCTCTTGCAGTGATGGCAGGAAAATGCCAAGGGTCTGGCCTGGAAATGTGATTGTGCCTGTTTGCTCATTCACTCACACAGTCCACAAACCTCACCACATGGGAGCCTCTGCTGGAGGCTTGGGGTGGAAAAGTCAGACAAAGACCACACTATGATAGTGCTGACAATAACTAACAAGTACACAAATAAATAACTTCAGAGTATCAGACGCTATGAAGACGTTAACACAGGGTGAAGGATGACAGAGAAGGGCCAGGACAGCTATTTTATATCAGCCGACCAGAGAAATTCTGCGCCACAGCACAGTACCAGATCAGTGCTGGGGTCTTGGGGTCAGGGGTGAGGACCTGTCTGGAGCTGGGAATAAGGGGGTGTTCAAGGCAGGGGACCCTACCTCCACCACCTCCTCCACCACGAGGAGGGCCCTGAAGGCCTGGTGACCCTCTCCTGGGGGAGCATCTCTAAGGTCCTATCTCAGCAACTGAACATTTCTCCCCATCCTCCCCCCACCCAGTACACCAACAAGCTGCAGGGGGAGTTTCAGAGCTTCAAGGTGGACATGAAAGATCTGGACCTGCTGAGCCCTGCTGCCCACAGGGACTTGGAGGCGCTACAGAGCAGTGGGATGGAGAAAATCAACTATCATGACTTCCTAGTTCAGGTCAGCAGTGAGTACCTCAGGTACAACAGCGGGCTGACAATGGAACAGAGGGGCTACATGCCAGGCATAGTGGCTCATGCCTGTAATCCCAGTTACTCAGGAGGTGCAGATAGGAAGATCAGTCTGAGGCCAGCTCAGGCAAAAAGTTAGTGAGACCCTATCTCAAAAAAAAAATGAACTGGTGGTACATGTCTGTAATCCCAGCTACTTGAAAGGCTGAGGATTGCAGTCTGATGGTGGCACAAGACCCTCTCTTAAAAAAAAAAAAAAAAAAACACCTAAAAGCAAAAGGACTGGGGGCGTGGCTTAAGATGTAGAGTGCCTGCCAACAAACAAACAAAAACCAAGATCAAGATCAGAGTTTCTGAGCATGTGTCTCCCATGTCCCAGCTCTCGATCTTCTCTCTGCTTCTGGGACCTCTTCCTGTTGTGAATGTGCCTGTATCATGCCCTCTGCCCACCCCACCCCACACCCCTCCCCTAACCCCCAGCATATGCTCCTCTTGTTGTGCTAAACCCACTGATGCCAAGAACGCTGGTGGGAAGCCACCTCTTCCTTGAGTCACACCAGAGGACTCCTCATTTTTGTTGTTTTCTACCCCATTGGAAACTGTCTGAAATATTTCACAGTTCCAGGTCAAACCTGAAACCCAGTGTGACCGATATGTCACAATAGACAGCTAGAGTGGGGTGTTTTTGACAAGACTAGGAATTCAGAGGCTGGAGGTAGGCGGAGGTGACCGCTGGGCACATCAGGGTTGATCCCATCTGTCCTCAGATCCAGAAGCCTGTGGTGAAGACTGACATGCACCAACTGGCCCAGGAACTGGAAGGACTGGCTGAGGCCCAAGTAAGACGGGAGTGGAGACCCCACTGGGCAGGCAGCAGTCAGAGGAGGCTAGGGATAGGAAGGGAGAGATGCTTGAATTGGGGAGGGGGCAAGGACAGGGGATAGGGGGCCCACTAGTGAGTGCTGAGGCTCCTCACCCCCCTGCTGGGCTTCAGGGCTTTGTGATATCTTTTAGGACTCAAGCTCAGCCACCAATTGGTTGTGTGGCTTTTGGCAAGTCATTTGGCACTCCTGGGCCTCTGTTTCTTCATCTGTAAAGTGGGCTGACCTCCACCTTGGGTCAGATGAAGTACCTGGTCTGACAAGGAATCTTTGCCCAAACCAGTTGCAGAATCTGCTGGGAGAGCTGCCTTAGGGACATTGTGATGAATTCAGATAGCATGACAGCTGCCCTCAAGGAGAGGAAATCACATTGTGTATTTACAGATATTTAGAGTTTCAAAAGTTCTCTTGGCGATCTCTCAGTGACCCCACCCCACCCCTACCACACACACACACACTGGGTAGGCCAAGGAGCATTCCATGCTTTCAGTAGACGCCATCGTGGCTCACATAGTACAGTGGCTGACTTAGGAGCACCTACAAGTCAGGGGCAGATGTAGAACTTGGGCTAAAGTCCTCCAAGCTTAGGACAGGCCCTGGAGCGGAAGGTAGCTTCTGTTTTCTGCCTTTGAGCCTAGCACCTCCTCTGTCTGCCCTCAGGGCAATTCTGAGCTGAGGCAGAAGCTGCAGGAGGAGGCTCAAGGGCTCAGAAACCTCTACCAGGAGAAGGTTGGCCCCCAGCAGAACCTTGTGGTAAGTCTGGAGGTGTGAGGAGTCTGGGGGCTGGGGAAAGGAGGGCTAGGAAGAGGGCAGTGAAATGAGGGAGGCCTCTGGGCCACTTTCTCCTCTTCCCTTGGCTACCTCCCTGCCCCTAACCAGCCGGATTTTTCCTCCACAGGCTAAGCTCAACCTCAGTGTCAGGGCCCTGGAGTCTTCTGCCCCAAATCTCCAGGTGGCTGCTAAGATGGGGAGACTGGGGTGGAGCAGGTGGGCCTCAGAGGGAGGAAGTACGAACAGCTGGCTTGGGACAGTTGTTCTGTCCTGTTCCACTGGAGAGGGGGTTGGGGTGGAGATGGGAAGAAAATGGAGGTTAGGGGATGGCAAATCCTTGAGGACCTCAATCTTTGGCCTCTAGGTCCTCAGGTCTACCCCTCCCCCACTAAGGTGACATGTTTGTACTATATGTTGAATGGGAGGATGGATGAGCAAATGAGTGGCCACTCCCTGGGAAGGACGCTGAGTTGGGGCTCTCCTCTCTTCCAGCTGGAGACTTCAAACGTCCTAGGCAATGTCACCTTCCTAAAAGGAGAGCTGCCTGCCGTGGCCGGCCACATCATGAAGAACGTGAGTGGGGCTAGGAGCTGCCTCTGAGCTGGAGGAGCACTGGGCTTCCCATACAGGCTTCTCCTCAAATCCCCTCCTCATGGAGGGTACCCAGAAAGCATGGGTGGGAGTCTCTTGGGACCCCTGTCAGCCCAACCCTCCTCTGTTTCCCACAGGCAAGTGGGTGCTTCCTGACCCGGGAGATGGGCTACTTCTCTCAGTACGTGACCTGGGTGAAAGAGGAGGTGAGTGGGGGCTCAAGCCCCACCTGCCTCAGAGCAACTACAGAGTATCCACACCCACTGCCCTTTTCCCACCCCCTGGAGCCCATTGGGGATGGCCTAAGTTTAGGATTGAATCCAAACTCCCAAGCCTGGCACCGGTACCCCTGCTTGCTCGCTGGGTTCTGGATGACCCACCTCTGCGCAGTCCTTCTCTAGGGACTGAGTGAGCTTGTTCCCATGCTCTTCCACACATGGGCTGCCCCACTGACCAGCTTGTCTCAGGCCAGCCTCAAAGCCCACCTCCTCCTATAGACCCGTGCTGACCATCTCTATCTGGGCACCCACACTAGGCCCACAGGGGTCTGACTTCACCTCGAGTATCTGTGCGTGTGTGTGTGTGTGTGTGTGTGTGTGTGTGTGTGTGCAGGAACATGTGAGGACAAGTGTGCATGCCTCACCAGTGAGTGACTTTAAGCCCATGCTGTTGAATGCAGACAAAGGGCAGAAGTTGAGCAAGGAGCCTGTGAGTGTGTCCCAGCTCTCGTGTACCTGCTGCTCTGTGTCTGGGTGCGAGTGTGCAGTGGCCATCAGCTGTGTCCCTGGGCCTCTCTCTGGCCCTGTCAACCTCTCCCTTGAAACATGGGGGCACACCTATGGATCTGGGTATTCCACGTGTACCTGCTTCATGTGGGCACTACAGGTGACTCAGCGAATCGCCACCTGCCAGCCCCTCTCTGGAGCCCTGGACAATGGCCGTGTGATCCTGTGTGACATGATGGCTGACCCCTGGGTGAGTGTTCCCACCCCATCAGGACTCAAGGACATTGAGCCTATGGAGGAGCAGTGGGAGCAGAGAGGGGAGGCCAGGCACAGTCCTACCTGGGGTCTGCTCCACATAGAGTCAGTGAAGCTGCTGTGGGTGCAGAGTGGGCAGGAAGGCACCACTGCTTAGCTGGGCCAGCTGACCTCATGCCACTCTGTCCAGAATGCCTTCTGGTTCTGCTTGGGGTGGTGCACCTTCTTCCTGATCCCCAGCATCATCTTTGCCATCAAGATCTCCAAATACTTCCGTCCCATCCGGAAACGCCTCAGGTGAGGGGCTGCTAAGACCAAAGGAAGGGTTGAAGGCGCAGAAAGTCTTTTCTACCATTGGGCCCTACTCCCTCCTGAGATCTCCCAGGCAGAGAAGGCTCATGACCTAGCCCTGCTCTGAGGAGCTCCAGAGCCTGGAGTTTCTCCCATTTGCCTGCCCATACCCTTGCTGCAACACATCTCCCCAGGGCACAGCTTCCTGGGACTCTTCCCATCCCAGAGGGTTCCTGGGGCAGGTACATCAGGGCTCTGGGTTTGCCCTGGGTCATGCTGGGGACTCACTCTTGTTCTGTGATGCCACAGCTCCACCAGCTCTGAGGAGACTCAACTCTTCCACATCCCCCGGGTCACCTCCCTGAAGTTATAGGACCCTCTGGTAAGTTTCCCTACCCCCTTAATTCCTCAGTGCCGGGGGCTAAAGGAGTAGAATAGGAAGAGGCTGGGTCCTGGGGTCTCCAGGGCCAGGAGGGCAGAAAGGTTTGGGGTCTTCACAGGGTCTGGTTGTTGGTATGGCCTGGCCAGCAGCAGGCCTAGCAGGCCCAAGGCCTGCTCTGCCTTTACCTGTTTCCTTCTGAATTTACAACAGGTCAAGGTAATCCGTGGATCTGCCTGTCCTCCCCCCTCAACTCTGCCTGGACCAGAGGACATCTGTAGCTCCTGCCCCAGAGCCCAGTCTGGCCTCCCTGGCCTGTCCCCCAACTCCAGCTTGCCTGGTGCCATCTTGCCTGTTTCCTTTCCACCTCTTTCTGCTTGTAACTGCACTTCATTCATTCCCCAAATCACACATAACTTGCTGAGTTACAGAGGTAATAGGTTCTTCTGGCATCTGACCCTATCCTCCTTGCTGTAATACATCAGCACCAGGAAAGGTCTGTTCTCCCCGCTGTTGGAATCCCTTCTTCAGTTCCTTGGGTGGGACAAAGGTCATGCCCAACCTCATCCTGCCCCTCTCTGCCCTCCCCCTGCTGAGGCCTCCCCCTGCTTCTGTCTGAGATCCTTGCCACTCATCCCATCTGGCTTCCCTAGCTTCCACGTCCTTCTTTCCCCTCCCCAAATCTTTGTCTCCTCCCTCCAGGGAAGTCCTGTTCTCCCTTTGTTCCTTTTTTACTTCATTCCCATGACTACCTTACTGGGCCCAGGGACCCCTAGTACCCAACCAAACCAATCAGGTAAACCTACCAAGTAGGCAGAAGCAGCCAACGCCCAGGTCTGTACTGGCTTCGGTCTCTGCCTCATGACCTTCCTGGGGCCCTCTGCAGGAGCCCAGCCTGGAGTTTTTGCCCTCAGTGGGGTAAGAGGCCTGAAGGTTGAGCTTTCCTCCCTGCACCCTGGGTTAGAAATAGTAGTGCTGGCCTTACTGGGAGCACTGGTTCCCAAGGGAAGTTACCTGGAACCTGGGCCACACTAGGGGCTCCCCTTATCGTCCAGAAGGTAGCATTTTCCACAGATGGCTCCTCCCAGCTTCCCAGAAAAGATCTGATGGCCAGAACAGGATTTTTCATTCCCCCTTCTATCCTGTGCATATGGCCTGGGGTCATCCTTAGCCCATTTCTGTGTTGTCCTCATATGCTGGACCCTGAACTCCAGAAAGGATGAAGAAGAGGAGAGCTAAATAAATCTCAGTTCCATTAAAGTGTTCTCACTTTCTTGAGCCTCAGTTTTGGGTTCTTGAAGGGAGGTCTCCCAGGCAAGGGCCTTATATACGGTTGGTGTTTAATTAGAGGGTTTGTGGAGAAGAGAATTCCTACACTGCTTCTGACTACAGGCATCCAGAGATTATTCAGCAATCAGAACAAGGAGTGGAGCCTGTCTGAGGACACTGCTAGTAGGATTCCCAGCCTGCTCTGATACTGCTAGCTGGGCCACCTTGAACCCTAAACATCAGTTTCTCCTTTTATAAGAGCCTCCAGGTAGGTTTCTGAAAATTAAATATAATAATGAATGAAAGCCCTGGCAGGAGCCTGTCACTGAACAATGCTTGGTAGATGGGAATGGCTGTGCTCTGGGCCAAGGGCAGAGCTAGAGTCTGGACAGATACTAGGGAAAGGAGAGATGGGTCCCTGCCAAAGGTCAAAAGCCCTTTAAGATGGTGGTCTGCTGAGTTTCAGCGAGTGTATATTTAATTGCCTTTTCTAAACCAGCAACAAATTTTCTACCAGAAAATTGAGATAGTATACACACAAGGTATTGTCACTACTGCAAGCATGCTCTCAAACAATTGCCTATTTTTGATTTTTGCCAGAGGTCAGTTTTTGTTTGTTTGGTTTGGTTTTTTTGCTTGTTACTTATCTGCTGACTTGTGCTGGAGAAGTAGCACCCTGCATTTTTAAAATGCAATTGATGAACTGGAGGTGTGGCTCAAGTGGTAGAGCAACTGCTTTGCAAGTGTGAAGCCCTGAGTTCAAGCCCCAGTCCCACCAAAAAAAAAAAAAAAGACAGTAGGAAAAGGTGAATGTAAAATGTGATTGATGAGATTTAAACAAATGAAGTAGAAACAAGTAAAATCATTTCCAGTTCTCTATCAGAATTGCTTATCTTTTATATATTTGAGCATATTAAGTGTAGTTATTTTAAAGCCTATCCCTTCATATGGTTGGTACCTCTGGGATCTGTTTCTAGTGGTTGTTGTTTCCCTTGGATTATGTTAGTGTGGTCTTGTCTCCTCAAGTATTTGGTGGCTCTTGATTGAGCTTTGGTACTCATTGTATGTGAAAACCTGTAGCAGTACTTTGAGGCCTAGGATGAAGTTCTCTTCCTGCACAAGGATTATGTTTATATCTGGTAGGTGGCTCGACACCTAGCAAGCCAAGATCACTTTGCCAACTTACAGGGAATGAGATGATTTGTAGTGCCTTGGAGGTCTGGTCTACTCCAGGTCATTCACATTCCTAAGGTGAAGCCCACACTGAAGCACAGAAGATTTGCTTCTCTTGGAGAAGTTGTTAAAAATCTCTGCTCAGCATCTGTGCAGTATCTTCTGGAATCAGCAGACCTACTAGGGAGAGAGCCCCAGAAGCCATGTCCCGGGGTCTCCTTTTCTCATACTGTGGTTCTATGATGCTTGACGGCTTTGTTTGCCCCATGATACCCTCAATCAGACCTAAACGTATACATATGTACACACACACATATGCTTAAGTGTGTGTATGTGCTGTATACAGATGCTCATTTCGAGCAGCTTTTAAAGATATGCTTAGCCAGGACTTTGGTCCAGATTATTTCATCCGCCATTATCAGAATAGTGATCGTGAACACTGACTTTGATGTTCCTCCTGTGAATTAAGAATCAGCTGCCACTCTTTTGAGTTTAGCATCCTTCTTGGAAACCTTAGGTCAACCCAATGGACACTGGCTTTGCCAAGGAGCTTGTGCAAAGTTGCTGTAGCACTAGTCACCTGGGGGATGGGAGTAGCACTCAGCAGTTGCCATAGAGAAAATAGATTCCTTGTTTTTGGGGTTTGAAAATGCTGGGATGCTACAATGCTAATGCTACTTCATATGTGAAACAGAACCCCTTCACAGTCACAGTCTTATCTGTCACCACAACAGTCCCTGAAGGGGATAAATTGTTATCTGTTTTGTCGGATGAAGCTCCAGGAAATTACTTAACAAGGTCATATAGTTGGATCTGATTCCCTGATCCTGGCCCTGGAGGTTTCCTCCTGGATGTTCAGCTAGTCCCCACTCCCCATGGGTATGTGGGAGGGAGGCCCTCTCTAGGGAGGTTCAACTCAGATGTCCTTGCTGTCCTTGTGGCAGGAGGGATGACAGATTGGTGGATCCTGGGAGTTCTGCCAGATGCGCCACCTGGCCACCCAGTACAAGGCCCTGTGGCAGATTCTGCCAAAGATACGCCACATGCGCCAGGGTGTCTGAGGTCCCAGGTGGGTGTCCAGAACAGCTCTGACTGGCTCAAAAGCGTGCAAAAGGAGGCCATGTGTCTGGAACTAGAATAGTGTGAGTGAACTGTTTATTCACTGATCTATGAGTATAAACCAGGAAGTGTGCTAAGCACTTTACATGAATTAATGGAAAGCTACTCAGGCAGAGACTGGACATGGGCTGAGTAGAAAGGGCAGTACCCACACAGAGGAACCCACTGGTGATGGTGGCACTCCAGGCCCTATATAAATTCTCTGGGTTGAGTCATCATGGACAGAGTTCCTCATTCCCACTTCCACCCCCAGAGCCAGGGCCACCCCCTTAACTCCTAGGGCCCTGTCTCCCTAGGCCTGAAGGCCAGGGACTAACCATGTGCTGCTGGGATGAAGCCCCTCCTCCATGGTCCCTAGTATCCTTAATTGTCGTGAATGTGCCGTCTTGGAGCATGTCACACTCCTCTATCTTACATGCACTGACTGAGTTGCAGCCCTGGGTGAGGAGGGAGACAGAGTGTATAGGGAGCTGGCCCTAGCCCAGCCTTGAGCTCTGTCCAAACCTGATGTTGGACTTTGGGAAGAGGAGTCCTGAACCTCACCTGCACTGAGGGCACGGAGGAGCCAGGAGCTGGCATTAGAGGAGGGGGAATATTAGACAGATGAGGTGAACCCATCAGGTTGGTGAGGTACACTCCCTTCACTTCAAGCCAGAAGGATGGGGTCCCTTGATGTCTGGGAAATGAAGCTACCCTCTCCCCTGCCAAGTCTACAGGATAGACTTTGCCTTGGTAGCAGAGATAAAGAGAGGGCTAGTAGCCAAGATTAGGGTGCTTATGAGAGAGTTGACATGGGGTGGCTTAGGCCCTGTCCCCGGAGGACACCTGGAGAGGGAACAGACCTCAGCAAAGAGAAGCTGGACCTTCCATTGGGTATTATAAATTCATTGCCACCACTCACCCCCAGAACCATGGGAAATATCCCAGACAGGGTGACACCAGAGAGGTTCCCAGCAATGGCCAGGCCCCGAGGGCCCTTGGAGATGTCCACAGAGAAAGAGGTAGAGCCCACAACCTCAAGTAAACCCAGAGAGCAGCTCAGCTGGAGGCTGACCACATTCCCTGCCTAGCAGTAGGCCTCTCACCCAGCAGGCCAGAGCTGGGTGCCCAGCAGCCTCTACCTCAGCGGAAGCCCTGACAACACGTGAGCCTAGAAGAGGGTGGAGACCATGCTGTGTGATGGAGAGAGATGGGGAACCATTTCTGTTTGCCTACAAGAAGAATCCTAGGCCTGTGAGGTTTCTACTGGGCCATGAAAAGGTGGTAGCAGAAGCAATTTCAGAGGAGACACAGCTGAGGCTGCCTCAGGTGTTTTCAATTCCACAGCTGTGTCTGCTCTGCCTCTTGTGGTACATAGAGTTTTGTGGCACCCAAAGGAGGGCTCTTTTAGGGTAGCACACGTTTTTGAGCTCCCAAGAAGAACGACTCTGGGTGCCTAGTAGGCCCACCTCCACCCAGAGAGGACTTACAGACAGGGACTTTGAGGGGAGTGGGGACGTAAGACCCAAACCCTGACAGCATTTCTCTTTCCCCACACCCCTCCCACCTCCTCAGCCAGGGCCCAGAAAAAGTGAAGCCTGAGAAAAAGACACGGGGCTGGGGGCTCCACAGAGCTGGGATTAGGGGACATGGGGAGGAAAGATTTGAATTTGGGCCTGGAGTGGAGAGGGTCATGAACAGGAATCAAGGGTGGTCCAGAAGGCCCCAAGATTTGTGGATGGGGGTGGGGTGAGCCCCTCACTCAGACGGGAGGAAGGTAAGGGCCTTCACTTACTGACATAGCCCACTGCTGCCTCTTCAGAAACTGTAACATAAGGAAACTTGGCCTCCATCCAGGCTTGAAATCGTCCCTCGATTTCCCACTTCCAAACTGCTCACAAACCACAGCTGAAACCCATCATGCCAAAGTGCTTGCCACTGACACACCTCCTGCAGCCTGCCTTAACCTTTTTTGGGTCTCCTCACCTCCAATGACTCCAGGAATGCCTGTTGGAGGAAATTTACTACTCAAGGAACCACAGCAAGGCCTCTGCCGAAACCCACATGAGCAGCCCCAGCTGCTCCCCAGAGGCCCTGGAAGTGCCTCCAGCCATGGAAGAAAGACCCCTGAGGGGACCCAAGGAGGAAAGGGATGGGATGGTGCAGGGGTACATACATACATCTGTGTTTTATGGGGGGGTCAAAGTGCCAGGGCCTATTGGGTCCAGTAAGGGAGGGCACGTGTCTGGCCTTACGTCTCAGAAAGACATCTTTGAGGTGTGGAATTTCAATGAGTGTGCCAAGCAGGGAGTTGGTGGCTCTCAAGAGGGAGGCACTAGCTTGGGATGGGATGCTCTGCCCTGCCTCCTCAGGCCATGCCATGAGTTGCCTCAACCTGGATAGCTTCCCGGCTGATGCCTGAACCGTGGACTTAGAGCTAGTGGGTAGGATGTCCCTACAGAGCTCACTTTGGGAAGAAAGGAACAGCCTTCATGTACTGGCTTTGTCACACTCTGGCTGATGACTTGGGCAGCGTGTTTTAACTTTTCTGGGTTTCACTGTTGTTATTGTAGAATGAGATAATGACGCTTTTCTCCCAGGCCACTGTGAAGACTCAAAATGCTCAGCATGTCCCCTCTGTCCCTCCTGTGGGAGCCTGCTCAGACCCTGAGGAGGACTGTCCCCAGCCTGAAAGGCCCATGGCTTCCTTGCCCCTTACCCAGCATGAGACCCAGTCTATCCTGAACTGCTGCTGGCCAGACACCTTGGTTGTCTCCTCCCCTCTGGGAACAGTCCTCCTTGACTCAGTGGGTCCACAGCCCCAGGCCCTTTACTTTCCCCTGAGGTAATTGGCTGGCTCAAAAAAAGGGGGGTGGGAGTGGGGAGGGCGCACAAGTGCTTCTGTGCCTGCTGGAAAGGAGGGGGCGGCTCAGGGATCTGTTTCCATGGGAACCACTGGCACAGGCTGGCTCCTCAGGGCACCAAAAAGGGAAACTTGGCTCAGGGTGATTTCTCTAAGGACTAAGCAAATGCCCAGGAGCCTCTCCTCCCAAGGCGCAGGAAGAATGCCCTCCCAGTGATGCCCAGGGCCAGAGTCACCTCCTCCACCACTGCTACTCCCACCCTAGTTGATCTGGTAAAGTCCCCCAGCTGCCTCAATGTGGTCCCAACCTCAGAGCCAGGCAGATGGTAACACCCGGGAAGTGTAAAGAGCTCATGTCTTGGGGAAGACTTCTATGCTGCAAGGCTTATGAGGGGTGACAAGGAGGTGACTAAGTGTGGGGAGGGACAGATGAGGTGGAAGGACCCCAGGTGTCACTCCACTCCCCAGGGGCCTTTACTCTCTCAGCAGCAAGCTCCCATTTATAAAGCCCGAGCAAACAGGGACCCTGGTAAAGTCCCACACTCCAAATACTAGGGGTAGATATCCCAGACTCAGTGGCTCCCAGCTGTCCTCAGGGTTGCTCAGGTACCTAAGAATCACACCACCTTGTGTCTGAGAGGAGGGTCAGGCAGGATTTGATGGCAGGGGCAGGATGGTTTTGGAATATGCCCTCCCCAACTTGGGGCAAAAACTGTACATAGAGCTCCCCTCCCCCACCCCATCCTTCCCAGTGACCAAGAAGAGGGGCAGCAAAGTGTGTATGTTAGAGCAGGAGAGACATAAAGAGAGGGTAGGAGAGAGACGGGAGCACCAAACATTGGACAGGACTGGATGAGAGGCTAGGATTAAGCTAGGATTAGGAACCATAGAGAGAGCCTAGGAGGGGGGTACTGAAAAGATGGAAGACAGAGGCTTGTGTGCACATGTGTATGAGAGAGAGAGAGAGAGAGAGAGAGGAGAGAGAGAAAGAGAGAGAGAGAGAGAGAAAGAAATAGGCAGAGCCGGAGGGGTGGAGCTAGAAGCCAGTAGAAGGGAGGGTGGAAGGGGTGGGCAGGGGCGGGGGAGAAGCCGCTCATGACAATTGCGTCTGGGTCCAAGCAAACATGAGGCAGCTGCCAGCCGGGCTGGGCAGTCCCACTCTCTTGGGCTGCAAAGTGGGGAGGCCGGTAACAGTCCCCTTCAATGCCAAGGATGCAGCAGGCCAAGGTAGGACTGGTGGGGCTGGAGCATGGGTCGGGGCTGGTGGGGGGGGTGGTGGAGAGATTCCGGGCATTGCTCTGGCCAAAGAGCCTCTTCCTGCTTGTGGTTGTGGTGCCTACTCCTTTGACCCCATCCTCTGCTGTCCTATATAAGGTATCTTTTGGGAAAGTGAGTGTTGGGGTGTCCTGGCTGAGAGACTGGACTCCTGGGGCCCCCTTTGGATGGAAGAGGCTTTGAGTGTTTGTGGGAGACCCAGCTGGGCAGAGAAGGGGCTTGAGGTCAGCTCTGTGGCTGGTCCTACCGTTAGGTCCCTGGGGTTAGGGCCGGGACAGCAGACCCTGAACCTGGGTCCTCCAGCTCTTAGGTTGGAGGCCAGGAGCATAGGGATGGGGAGTCTGCACTTGGAGGTTGGCCAAACATGCCGCTTTCAAGTAATCAAATAATTAACAAATGCCCCATCTTCTAAAAGGGCTACATGACACCTACCAAGGATACACAGTAATGGAGAGGAGGCAAGGAAAACACCTGGCATAGTGGTGGGGTGAGGGGAAGAGTGAAGGAGAATTAAATGAGAAAGAATGAGGGCAAGATAAATAAGTTGTCCCTCCCCCAGCCCCAGCATAGAATTGACCCTCAGAAAGTCTGGCCTGGTGCCCTGCGAGCTGCCCCATGTCCAGGACAGGCTTGCTGTGGAAGAAGGAAAAAGCCCCAGCATTAGGTTTGGTTGCTCATAATAGAACACTCCAGATAATGGTGATTAGAACAGGTTGGCTAAATTTTTTCTCCTGCAGAAGTCCAGAAGAAGGCAATAGAGGGCTGGCCTGGAGACCCGCCCATCAGCAGGGATGCAGGCTCCATCTATCTCACTGGCTTCCATCCTTGAGGTTACCTTAAGGTCCAATATGGCTGCTGGAGCTCCAGCCAGCACATGAGGGCAGCAGGAAAGAGAAAGAAGGAAAAGCAAAAGGACCCAAATGAAATCCGGGTCTTGTGAGCAGAAAGAATACATATAGAGCTGGCATCTTGCAGTCTCTCCTCATAAGAGATGACTTTCTGCCTCTCTTTCACCCATGAGGACAAGCAGCCCAGAGAAAGCTTGTCACTGGCGTTAGGCCATGCTGTCCCAGAGTCCAAGCTGCCCCTGCTCTGTCTGGTCCATTTCCCAAGGATGCAGGGAGGATTAACAGAGGTGATGACATGAAGTCCTTTGAACTTGAGGTCAGGGCATATTGAAAAGGTGCTGTTACCTCAAGTGTCCCCAGCAACTGCCAGGCAGGCGGGGAAGAAGCAGAGAAACTTAACCATCTGTCCTGGGCTTGCACACTGTGGCATGCTCACTTCACACACCCACCATGTGCAGCACAGGTCTTGCACACGCATAACAGGCAAGCACAGACACATCAACGTGGATTTACACATGCCCTGCAGCTGTGCCCGCCGGTGGAGCTGTTCAGCGTGACCATGTGTATCCACACAGCCAGAGATGTCTACAGTCAGGCTGCACACCTGTGTACACAGCCAGCAGAGGACGGTCCCCCTTCCCTCACTCTCCTCTGCCAGCCTAACTGCTAGAGGTCACTCTGGGAGCTTATGAGCAGTCAGTGGCCCAAGTCCTGCAGATATATGTGGCCATGTCCCTTGGCCATTGTGACTTCCTCCTGCCCTCCATCCTCCCCAGAACTGGCTCCTGGGCCCCTGTGGATCTTGCTGTTTTTATGCCTACCAGTGGCTTTCCTATGTTTAGCTGGGCCAGACTTGAGAGTGGGCCCCATACCTGCCAGTGCTGGGATGGGCAGGTATAGTGGCCCTAGGGGAAGCACACTGGCCTCTCACCTGCAGGAGATTATGAAATTCAACCTTCCTACCTAGAGACAGCAGAGACTGCACTTAGCACAGACTCGGAATTGCCTGCACTCCTCACTGTCAGTGCCAGTGGCTGCCCCCAGTTTCACTCCTACCTTCTTCCCACACTCTCCAGCCAGCCATTCACTAACCCACTCTCCCTGTGGGGAGCATTGAGGCCAGGGTGGGCACTGGCTTTAGCACCAGGCCTGCCTGAGCTAGAACTCCTTGAGCTCTTAGGAGGAGCCAGTGGAGCCCAGGTTCTGGTATAGCGTCTATTGGCTCTGTCCTGGGGTTTCAGAGTGTGATGACTTTACAGCACCAGGAACCTCTCCTGCCCAGCTTCCAGCCTTTTTGCTGGACACGTGGGGCAGTGAGTTTGCTCACTGTTTGCAAAAAGCAGTTTCTGAGCGTCAGGGTTGGGTTGGGGAGGGATGTGACCTTGCTCTCCAGGTGGGGTCTGAAGGAAGGTCAGCTGTCCTGAGGTGCCACCCCTCCCTCCAGGCCATTGTCCTCTGCATTTTCTTCCTGGACCCTCATGCAGCCCACAAGGTAGCTCCTGATACCGTCCCCACTCTACAGGTAAGGAAACAGGCCAGTCCTAGATTGCAAGCGCCAGTGTTGTAGCTGGGATTTGAACCCTGCTGTCTTATTCCACAGCTCAGGTCCCTAGCGCTCAGAGGTAGAAGGTGGGGAGAGGGCTTGCTTTTAGCCAGGCAGCGGAACAAGTGCCCCATCCCAGCCCCAGGGCCTGACTCTGTGGTTTGTGACCTGTTGTGCCTTCTGAACCAGCTAGTGAGTAACACAAACCAGCTTCTGCTCCAGGCACGTCCCCTACATTAGCCACACGACTGAGCTACTCCCTGCCCTTTCTGCACTACAAACTAGAGGTGTGAAGGAAAGGACCCCAAGGGTCCCCTTTTTTATTGCAATCCTTTTTTTTTTTCAGGTACTGAGGTTTGAACTCAGGGTCTTGTACTTGCTAAGTAGGTGTTCTACCACTTGTTCAACCCCAGTTCTTATCACAATCTTCCACAAGAATAGAGAGCTGTTTTGCTGAATTGGGCTGGGGTTAGGAGCCCCCTTTGCTCCCCCGAGCCTCTTTGGGGGTTCCCAAGAGTAGTTGCAGTGCCTCTGCAAGGGAGAAAGGTGCTCTTGACTTCTGAGGCAAAGAAAGATAAGGGGAGAGGAGTTGGTGCATCTGCCTTGACTGGGGGCTGGGCCCTGACCCTGATGAGAAGAGAGCACTGCTCAAGTGACTCACAGCTCTGCCCCCACCAGTTCCCAGCCCCAGCTGACTGATGTTTCCCTGGAACAGGTGCATCTGTCAGCTGTGATCAGCCCACGTTCTAAAACGCCACAGAGCAGTCATTGACAGGGAGAGAACCAAGGGGAACTGCAGGCCCCAGACTTGGAGCAGTGGGGAGCTGAGCTGACAGGGACAGCTGAGGGGGGCCTGTCCTACATCTTAGCTGATCTACCTTGATCTACCTCAGTTCTGCCCACATGCCCTCCCTCAGGCTAGCCTGTGCCTTCCCCATGCTCAGTAAGGCAGAGCAGCTGCTGGACTTTGCTGGCTACATCTCCAGCTCTGCCTGTCATCCCTGCCTTCCCTACCTCCAGCACGTAGGCAGTGGGTGACCTCTGGGATAGATCTAAGTCCCCCAGGTGCAGGCGCAATGCTGGGCCCAGCCTTTTTGCAAGATCCTCCTTCAGGATGGGTACTTAGGGCAGTGGCCCCTGGCACACCAGTTCTAGTCTTGACTCTGCTCTGATGACTTTGGGCAGGGCCTGCCCCTCTCTGGGCCCTGGTCCCTCCATCTGGGCCTGCTCATAGCCTCTGCCAGGGCCCTGTGGTGACCAGTGGGGGACTGAAAATGCCATGATGCAGCTCTTTCCTCTAGCCCCATGCACACTGGCCCGTCAAAGCCCACTGATGCTCACCATTTGGTACTGATGGGACCTGGCAGGAGAAGGTAGCTGGAGAGGGCTCATGGCTACACCCTGTCAGCTGTTATCCCTGGCTCTGTATCAGGCAGCTCTGGACTTGGCCCCAGCGCCTTTGCATATTAGCTGTGCATCCTCGGACAAGTTATTTAGCCCTCTGTGCTGTGGTCTCCTCCTTTTCCTGAGGGAAATATCACCCACCTTCTGGAATAAGATCCTTTAATAACTCATTCCACCTGGGCCCCTGCACATAGCAAGAGCTCCATAAATAGGAGGAATGTCAATGTCAGTTTCTGGTTGTTTTAACTACTTTTTTCTTTTTGGTGGTGGTACCGGGGTTTGAACTCAGGGCTTCATGTTTCCTAGGCAGGTGCTCTACCACTTGAACCACTCAGCCAGCAAAGAAAGAGGATTGACTTGAAGTCTTTCTTTTTTGGGAGGGCACAATACTGGGGTTTGAACTCAGGACCTCACACTTGCTAGGCTTGAGCCATTCCACCAACCCCTGGTTGTTGAGTAGAACCTGGGAAAGGCATCTCAACAGAGAATGACAGCAATGAGCCTCTGAGTTAATGGGGCACCCTCGTTGCCAGGGGTTTGGAGCCTGTGTCCTGAGTAAGTTGGCAGCCACTAGACACAGGGCCAGGACAGACCAGTTCTCTCTCGTCTGTTCCATTGCTGTGTGTGTGTGCAGTATACATGTGTGGCAGGATATGCACATGTGCATGTGTGCTGTATGTGTGTGCTTGCTTTTATGTGCATGTGACAAACTCAGCCCCCACCCACAAGATGAGCTACCTGGCCCACATCTGTCTGTGCCCAGAGGTGGGTGGAGAACTCAGGCTTCCCAAATCCTGGGGGCCTGCACAACAGAACACTCACCACTGCTGCCTGCCATCTGTCCCCTGTGATGGAAATAGAGTGAACAAGTGAGTGCTAAGTGCTGCACCAAAGCAGTCTCTGTGGACAGTGAGGATGAGGAACGGGTCAGCTCTATATCTAACATGCCTTGAATGTCCCCAGCTGGCCCAGGCCCTGGCCTCACGACAGCCCTCCTGGGAGGGAAGGGGGTTGAGAACTTGGAGTCCCTTTCCCACAACAAACAAAGCCTAGAATTTTCTAGAGTTATCTGGTGGGATAAGCACTCTAAACCTCACCTGCCCTTCCAAATCTACTGATGAGCTTTATAAAAATAGAGCAACCCAGGCCCTTCTGAA